ACAACCAACTAATCTTTCACAAATGAGCTAAAATTAGCCCCTGGAGAAAAGACAGTCTCTTCACCAAATGGTGCTGAAAACATTAGATCTACATATAGAAGTGTGAAACAAGACCCTACCTTACACCTTATACAAAAATTAACTCAAAATGGACCAAAGACCTAAATCTAGGACCTGATACCACCACATTACTAGAGGAAAATATTGGTGAAACTCTTCAATGCATTGGCATAAGCAAAAACTTCATGAAAAAAGCCTCAGAAGCACAGTCAGTAAAAGCAAAAATATAGAAAAATGAGATTATGTTAAGCTAGGAAGTTTCTGCACTGCAAAGGAAACACTCAAAAACATGAAAGACAACTGACAGAATGGGAAAATTTTTTTGAAATTATGCAATAAAAGACCAATATCCAGAATTAGGAACCCAAGAAACTCAACAAAAAAAAAAAATCCAGATAAGAAATGGCCAAAGGACATAAACAGTTACTTTTCCAAAGACGAAATGGCCAATGATGAAAAAATGCTTAGGATCACTAGCCATCAGGGAAATGCAAATAAAAACCACAATGAAAGGGTAGCACTGTAACATAGTGTGTAAAGCCACTGCCTGCAAAGTGAGCATCCTATGGTAACTCTGCCTTTCAAATAAATTTTTTTTTTTTTGACAGGCAGAGTGGACAGTGAGAGAGAGAGACAGAGAGAGAAAGGTCTTCCTTTTGCCGCTGGTTCACCCTCCAATGGCCGCCGCTGCAGCCGGCGCACCGCGCTGATCCTGGCAGGAGCAGGAGCCAGGTGCTTTTCCTGGTCTCCCATGGGGTGCAGGGCCCAAGCACCTGGGCCATCCTCCACTGCACTCCCTGGCCATAGCAGAGAGCTGGCCTGGAAGAGGGGCAACCGGGACAGAATCCGGCGCCCCAACCGGGACTAGAACCCGGTGTGCCGGCGCCGCAAGGTGGAGGATTAGCCTATTGAGCCACGGCGCCGGCTTTCAAATAAATTTTAAAAAGTCTTTAATTTTTTTAAATTTTGAAGAACAAAGTGTTTTTATTTGAAAAAAAGCTAATATTGTAATTGAAACATATTTTGAGGAATTCACAAAAAAAAAAACACAAAAATTCACAATGTAGCAGAATATAGGATAAAGATACAAATATCAATTACATTTCTGTATAGTAGCAATGAACATTATGAAAATATAATTAACATTCAAGATAGCATCAAAGTGAAAATACCACTAAGAAATTTAAGAATAAAAACACTGAATTTTGTAATGGAAAAATAAAAAATATAGGAACATATCATTTTTAAAATCAGTTACTTCAATAAGACATTTAATAATGCAAAAAGATATGATTACTATTAGTCATTGGGTAAATGCAAACAAAACCTAAAGATATCACTTAATATTCAGTAGGATGATTCTGATTCAGCCATAGATAAATGCTGACTGAGACAGATGGACAACATGGAACCCTCATACACTTTCAGTAAAATAGTGCAACCATTGTGAAAAATAATTTGCAGTTTCTTAGCAAGTTCTACATAGGATTATTTCTTAACTCAGCAGTTTCTCTCCTGTATGCCAAAAGATAAAAAATCCACTTGCTCACGTCTGCTCACTGCAGCAATATTTATGAAAGCCAAATGTGAAATCAACTCAAATACTGAATGTAAGAATAACATGTGTAATATATCTTTTATAATGGTACACCATTTGGCAATAAAAATTAATTAACAAATTACCGACTACAAAAGTAAAACTCAAGAGAAGAAATTAGAAGCAAAACCCCACATACTGCAACATTGTACAATTTCAATTATAGGATATGTCCATAAAAGGCCAATCTCTGGAGATAGATTTTAGATTAGTGCCTGTCTGGGGCTGATGGTAAATGAAACTTTACTGTAAGTAATATGAAGAATTGCGGGAAATGAAAACATGTTAATATTATAATATGGTTATGATTATGTATATTGCCAGTACAGTACAAAGCAAAGGACATTCACCTAAATCAAGGGACAGTTAGGACTGAGCAGATAAACTCTTAAGTTTGGGCTTCACAGAAGAAACTGAATACCAACAAATATGGGAGAGTTTCACCTATTTTGTGGAACATGAAATTAATATACTCACTTTGGTTCAAAACTACTTAAAACCATAAATATGAGGAGCCTTACAATTCATAGACAATGTTTAGAATGAAATAATATGCATGTTTCAAGGAATTTTTCACCAAAATTAATCTGCTATTTAGTTCATTATTTCTTGTTTGATATTGTCCTAATTCAAATTAATACCATACACACTTAGAGAACCACTTCATTTTGCTTATGCGAAACAATTCAAAAGATTATTAATTACAAATTTAAGCTAAAATACTGCCTCCTAATTGCTCCACTTTTCCTGGGAAAATACCAATTCAGTTATTTTCAGATTATCTTTGTCTTAATAAAATATTTCCAAAGATACTAATAGTAGTTATGACACTAATTTAAATATTTTGACATCCCTTAATTATACACCCAGTAAGATGCTGTTCTGGGTTCATATTTTGTTGACAATAATTATACATATCTACAGGTAACAGTGTGAAATTTTAATCACATATACAATGTGTAATGATCAAATCAAGATACATTTTCCCTTCTATGACATTACACCTCATAATCAGAGCCTTGGAATATCTTCCTTCTATTTGCTCATAAAATAATGAATGTATTACTGTAAACTATGGTCACCCCACTATTCTATGTAATACTAAGACCTTAATCCTATAATCTAACTCTGATTTGGTACCAAGCACTCCAAGTAGTTTTTACAAGCTTCTTAATTAATTAGTTTGAAAGAAAAAAAAGACAACACACATACACACAGACAGGGAAAGAGAATATTCCCTTCCACTGAGAATATTCCCATCACAAATGCCTAAAACAGCTTTGGATATATCGTACCTCAACAATGATTCAGATATGACATCAAATGCACAGGTGACAAAAGGAAGTAAGACTGCAAAAACTAAAAGAAAAAAAATCTGTGTACTAAAAGGAAAACTAAACAGAGAAAACAAAGAATGGGAGAAAAAGTTGGCAAACATAGTATCATTAAGGGAGTAATACGAAGAAATACACTCATAACTATAAATAAAATTGGACAAAGAATCAGATAGTTTTTCCAATCAAGATATGAAAGCACCCAACAGGTATTTTAAAAGGGGCCGCACTGCTAACCAATACCACAATATTATCACCTCACATATGTAGAAATGGCTATTATCAAAAACTAAAAATATAACAAGTACTGAATCAGATCTTTAGAAAAAATAACACATAAATTGTCTGAGGGAATGTAAATTGGTAAATTCACTATGAAAAACACTATGGGGCCGGCGCTGCAGCTCAACAGGCTAATCCTCCACCTAGCGGTGCCGGCACACCAGGTTCTAGTCCCGGTCGGGGCACTGGATTCTGTCCCGGTTGCCCCTCTTCCAGGCCAGCTCTCTGCTGTGGCCCGGGAGTGCAGTGGAGGATGGCCCCAGTCCTTGGGCCCTGCACCCCATGGGAGACCAGGAGAAGCACCTGGCTCCTGCCTTCAGATCAGCGTGTGTGTGGCTGCAGTGTGCCGGCTGCGCGGCCATTGGAAGGTGAACCAACGGCAAAGGAAGACCTTTCTCTCTGTCTCTCTCTCTCTCTCACTGTCCACTCTGTCAAAAAAAAAAAAAAGAAAGAAAGAAAAAAAAGAAAAGAAAAACACTATGGAAGTATCCCAAATAAAATTAAAAATGGAACACGTGACAAAGTAATCCCACTACTGGATGTGTATCCAAAGGAAATAAAATCACTATCTCAAAGGTACACTGGCACATCCATGTTCATATGAGCATTATTCACAAGAACAAGAAATGGAAATAACATGGTCAATAGATGAATAGAGAAAAACATGATACACATGCACACAATCGAATCACATCCAACAATAAAAAGAAATTCTAGCATTTTATCACAACATGGATCCAAATAAATTAATGTGACATCAGGCTGCATGAAGTATGACACAGAAAGATAAATACCACATAATCTCCTGAATTTGTGGAATTGAGAAAATCAAACTTAATCACAGAACAGAATAGTGGTTTCTAGGGGCTGAGAGTGGAGGAAGTGTGAAGATGTTAGGAGATAAATTAACTCCTTGAGACCTAATATACAGCACAGAAATAATATCACACTATTCAATACTCACAACTTAAGATCTTAAGTATTATTTTAAAGACTATGCAAGGTGATATGGATATGTTAATTGTCTTAATCATCTCATAATACATATGTAAAAGGGGATTCCAAAAATTTAGTGAAAAACTAGATTAAATGATAAAGTGAATTTCCCATGGACTTAAAAACACCTCAAATAACATCAGATTGCAGGCCTTGAATATACACAAATTTTGTCAATTTTATCCCAATAACCTTGAAAAATCACCCTATATCAAAATAAAAATTAAAACTTAGAAATCTAGGCTTATATTTTTGGGGTTGGGAAGGTTGTCATGGAACAGAAATAGTTTTTAAAACACCCATAAATGTAACGAGCTAAACTTTCTATTTGAAAGGTCAAAGACAGCCAACAGCCTATCAAGGGAATGTGTAAGGGCAAAGATGACACCTGAGTACAAATTACAGTGTGCTCCTGTCCCCCTAAAACCTGAACCAAAACACTGAGTGAAATAAAACTACTTTGTTTTTAACTTACTGTCTATGACACTGTTATTTTCAACAGAAAATGAGGTCAGACCTCCAGAATGGGCTATGCTGACAGATCAAGGTCCGTGAATTAAGACCTGCTTCTGACATATTCAGAAAACTTGTGGATTCATGTCACCCCTGGAGTAAAAAGAGCAACTGAGGACCCCTTAAACAACAGCTCCTCACTGCATGAACCCCCACACAGCCCACATTCCCCATAATGACCACCCGTCCCCACTGCATAAATGGGGAAGGCAGGGGCTGCTGCCAGCAGCTGCCCAGAGATGGCCCCTAGGCTGTGAGCAAGAAACGGACAGGACACCTGAAGTCCCCACACTGCAGACCAGAGAGGGCCAAGGGAAGTGTCATTCCAGCAGCGAGATGGGGCCTACGGACTAGAGATGACCTCTGTGAAGCCGGCAACCTGTCAGCCTTTTCTGACAACATCCAGGAAGTCTGCCTTCCCCTCTCCTCAAGCCCCGCCCCCCACACTCACCATTTCCAGTGTCCTAGGTGGGTGGCGTCCTTCAATGGAAGATGGTCAGAAAACAGCGGACAGAGAGCAGCAAACGCTGACTGCCTTTAGAGATTCCCAACAACAGAGCCCACTCCTAGAACCTCCCTCCACCTCAGAACTGGAAGACTACTGTGGCATCAAGATCCTGCGGGATTACGTAGCATTTACACCACCGCATCTGACTGAACAGCTTGCATTGCCGTGAGTGTGCACAACGTCTAAAAGACGCAGCCAATCAGAATCCTCCATAGCGCTGACACACGAGTTCAGGTCGTGCCAGATGGAAAAAATAAGAGGAGTCAGGTTCATTTCCAACACTGCGTCCTCTTTGGCTCCAGCCTCCCTGTAGTGGGAGGGAGTTTCTCCTCCCTGGTCCTGCAAACTGCTGGACTCCCTCCCACCTCTTTCTGGAAAAGATCCTATTGGGTGTTGCAGGAACCTCCTTCAGGTCAGTTACAATTTAATGGCTGTTTATTGGCTCAGAGCCATTCTTATTCATATGTGGAACACATTTTTATGTTGAGTCCTCTGTGTTTTTTTTATTATGAATTTAAAGAATGTATAAAGATATCTCATAATTTAATCCTTTTTTCCCATTTCTCTTGCAAATTTTTTCTAGTCTGACTACTGTGCTTTAATATTTTCTTTGTTTCTTGCTTGTACTTAGTAATTAAGACTATGAATATATATATATATGTATGATTGGTATTTATAGTAATGTCTTTTACCAGTTGTATTTGTTTTTATAGATTACCTCTGTATATAATCATCCAATATATTCATATTTTATGACTTAGAAATTGATCTTTATAATTTATAATTTCTTTTTGCTCCTTTATACCCCTTACTACCCCTGCAATAGAAAGATTATACAATCTAGCAGTCCCATTCCTGGGTATGTATATCTAAAGAAAATTAATTTGGTATACCATCTTTATATTGAGAAATGGAAAAAAAAACTAAGTGTCTACAAAATGATGAATGGAAAAAGAAAATGTGAATGCACACAAAGGAAAGCTATTTGATGGAAATGGAAGACACGTTTATCATTTACAACAATATGGATGGATGTGAGACTCCTTATCATAAAAAATATGCCAAACCCAAAAAGACATGAGCGACATAGTCTCAGTCATATGTGGACTCTAACAAAGTGCTTCTCATAGATGCTAAGAGTATGATGGTGGCTAACAGAAACAGGGAAGAGTAGGAATGAGAAATTGTTTGGGAAAAGTTGTTTAACAGGTACTAGGTGGGCCAGCACTGTAGGGTAGCAGGTAAAGCCACCAGTTGCAGCACCACATCCCATATGAGTAGGTTCATGTCCTGCATGCTCCACATGCTAATGTGCCTGGGAAAGCAGCAGCAGATGACCCAAGTGTTTGAGCCCCTCTTCCCACTTGGGATACCTAAAGGAAGCTCCAACCCCCTGCTGTTGCTGCCATGTGGGGAGTGAACCAGGAAATGGAAGACCTCTCTCTCTTTCTCTCCCTCTATATCTGTAACTTTGCCTTTCAAATAAATAAATACATCTTAAGAAACAGCTATATGTAAGAGGAAGAAGTTCTGGTGTTCCCTTGAATGATAGAGTAGGGTGACTATGGTGATGATAATGTACCATCTATTTTTTCTTAAAAAATAGAGTCTACATGTTTTGCTCATAAGAAATCACAAATATTTGAAGAGATTGATACTTTAGGAAAAAACATGGTGCAATATAAATATGTATAGTTGTTTTAAGTTAGTAACTTTTTTATTATTATTTGACAGGTAGAGTTATAGACAGAGAGAGAGAAAGGTCTTCCTTCTGTTAGTTTACTCCCCAAATGGCCACTATGGCTGGTGCTGCACTGATCCAAAACCAGGAGCCAGGTGCTTCTGCTTGGTCTCCCATGCAGGTGCAGGAGCCCAAGGAATTGGGCCATCCTCCACTGCCCTCCCGGGCCACTGCAGAGAGCTGGACTGGAAGAGGAGCAACCAGGACTGGAACCTGGTGCCCAAATGGGATGCCAGCACCGCAGGCGGAGGATTAACCAAGTGAGCCATGGTGCCGGCTTCCTAAGTTAGTAACATTTAAATACATTTAAATTTGATGCAATTTGTGTTACATAAGAGAATAGTACATAAGAAAACAAATATTATATATGTGTATACTCTTGTAAACATTCATGTATTTATATATCAACATATAAACACATGTATATAAGCATACATAAAATTTAATATCCAAAGTTGGAAATACTTATATAATTTCAATTGCATTTCTGCATCTGGAGAAATGAATCATATTCATAATTCCCTTATTCCACTCTCCAGTCTGTTATTCCCTTTGTCTTCAGAAAGCTCCTATCATACTTATGGCTGTTTCCCTGATGAAATATTCCAGACTTTTCAGAGCTGAATACTTTTGGACAGAAGACTTCCAAATGCCCATAGCAACTGCAGTCCCATGGAAGACCCATCTCCAAGATGTTTTGTAGTCAAGTAGAGGTCAGGAATGATGTTGTATAGGCTAGCCACCCAAAGTGAACCAATACCACCAGTGTCCCCAATGACCAGGCCAACCATATAAAAAGATATTCAAAATCATCTTAAGACATAAGATTGGAAATTCAGTATGGTAAACTCAGGTCCAGGAAGGAGGTTCATAGGAACAATCATCCATATCAAAAGAAAGTTTAATATAAGAATTATGAAGAACTAGGGTTGTACTTCTTATAGAGCTTCTAGGGTTGTACTTCTTATAGAGCTTCTGAAAATATTCAATAAAGGAAGCAATATATATATATATATATATGTCAACATCTAAAAGAACATATTGGAAATTCAATAAATGTAAGGAATGAATTTGAGAGACTAATTTTCCATTATTAATGTCAATAATTTTTATGGTAGAGGAAAGGAAAAAATATAAGACAAAATTCATGAAGAGAAAGATGAAGAAATATGTAAATGCTAAAAAATATACATGAGTTGTAATAAATAAATACCAGTGTAAACTAACAGAGCAGCATTAGTATTAAAGTGCATTCTTGAGCTTATAATTTAATAAATGTGTAAAATATGTCATTACTGTATTTTCTTTTTAATAACCAAATCAATGAATATAATAATTCAATAGAGGGGCCGGCGCCGCGGCTCACTAGGCTAATCTCCGCCTAGCGGCGCCGGCACACCAGGTTCTAGTCCCGGTCAGGGCGCCGGATTCTGTCCCGGTTGCCCCTCTTCCAGGCCAGCCCTCTGCTGTGGCCAGGGAGTGCAGTGGAGGATGGCCCAGGTGCTTGGGCCCTGCACCCCATGGGAGACCAGGAAAAGCACCTGGCTCCTGGCTCCTGCCATCGGATCAGCGCGGTGCGCCGGCCGCAGCGCGCCGGCCGCGGCGGCCATTGGAGGGTGAACCAACGGCAAAGGAAGACCTTTCTCTCTGTCTCTCTCTCTCACTGTCCACTCTGCCTGTCAAAAAAAAAATTCAATAGAGGATCGTAGCTTGAAATAATGTAAACAAACAAACCAAAATACAGAAAGAAAATAGGAGAGAAGTAATTCATCAAAAAATAGGGAACAAAAGTAACTCAAATAAAACAAGGTATACAAAGAAATAAGCTTATAATCCTGAATATATTAAGTTATGCATTAAGATTAAGTGATCCTCATGGGGTGGGCATGATGGTGCAATGTTTTAAGCTAGCTTGGGACACCTGTATCATATATCCTTGTGCCTGATTTCAGTCCTAGAGATGCCATTTCTCTGATGGTTTCCTGCAAATGGACATGAAAGGCAACAGAGAGTAGCTCATATTTTTGGGTTCCTCCCTACCTACTCAGATTTGAATGGAGTTTCTGGCTCCTGGCTTCAGCCTCACACAGCCATAGTTGTTACAGGCATTTCAGGGGGTGAAACAGCATCTAAAATATATATCTGCTTCTGTCTCTACTTCTTGTTATTATGCCTTAAGTAGTAAATCCTTAAAAAACAAACAAGGGATCTTCAGATATAATGAAAACCAAATATAGATATATGAATTCTACATGACATGTAACAAAAGTCACATTATAAAAAATTAATTTATATTTTTAAGGTATACAGATTTCAGTGCTTCATATATAGAGATTTAGGATACATGATAATTCACACTATCCTCCCTCCTGACCATGCCCAACACTTACTCCTCCCTCTCATATTCCCACTCTCAGTTTTGCAAAAAATCTATTTTCAGTTTACTTTTTACTCATAGATTAACCCTACACTGAATTCAACAAATAGAATGAAGAAAGAAAATATTGTTCCTCACCGGTAGAGACAATGGTTTGTAAACAATCTAATAGAGAACTTAAAATCCAATGTCTTGGAGTGAAATGGACATTTTGAGTTCTGATGATTGCTTAAATGTACATTTTCTCTGCTATGATTCATTTGTTGAAAATATGTTAACAAAATGTGTGCTATAATTATGTTACATGAAAATTGTTACAAAAATACACCTATACCTATTTCTTCTATAATCAGACAAAAATTCTGAGACAAAATATGATAGTAATTGGGGCCAGTGCTGTGGCATAGCAAGTAAAGCTGCAGCCTGCAGTGCCAGCTTCCCAAATGGGTGCCGATTCAATTCCCATCTGCCCAACTTTTGACCCACTCTAAGCTATAGCCTGGGAAAGCAGTAAAAGATGGCCCAAGTCCTTGGGCCCCTGCACCCACATAGGAGATGGGGAAGAAGCACTTGGCTCCTGGCTTTGGATCCGTGCAGCTCTGGTCATTGCAGCCAATTGGGGAGTGAACCAGTGGATGGAAGACCTCTCTTCTCTCTCTTCTCTCTCTCTCTGCCTCTGCCTCTGTGTAACTCTGCCTTTCAAATAAATAATATTTCAAAAACCACAATGAAACTTTTAAAATGATAGTCATTAAATTGCATTGATTTAATTTATTTCAATCTACACTAGAAGAAAGGAAACATACTTTATTCCCATCAACAGTTATATTTACTGGTTTGTGTGTTAGTCAATATTTCTTATGTATAGTTATTACTTTTTGCTTTTTGGTTTTTGTTTTTTACTAAACAAATTATTGACCTATAAGTGTTCAGCTTCTTTTTAAAAAATAAAGTAAAAATTATTGAAAATTTATTATTTAGATACTATCACAGATAATTTTTGAATTCTTGAAGCAACCTCAATTTTAAACAAGAATAAAGGCAAATTTCTTGGAAAATTAATCCTTTAGTTACCTATACCAAAAAATTAACTACTGAATTTTTTAGCAAACTCATATATGTAAAAGGATAACACATACACTATTTTAAGTGAAAAAATATGGTATATCCTCTGCTGAAGAATAGTGTAGTAATACTTATTAACAGTGGTAAAATAAGCATAATATATTTGTGATTAGAAAATGACTGTAAATAATTATATCAACCTATTATATGCAAACATGAATATCAGTAT